AGAGATTTGGCGGGATCCCAAATCGGCGGAAAAGGCCAAAGCCGAAGCTCCGCCAGGTGCACGGGGACGATTTCATTATTCATCATAACTCCGGAATAATGCATCTTCTGCCCGAATCACTTCCAGTAGCGCCGCTAGTTAGAAAACAAACTCAGAGCAATAAAAGACAACTTCTGCAATCCGGAATTTATACTCAGTCTCAGAAGGGAGACAACACGGTATTCCGGATGACGTCTTTATGAGCAGGAGCATTGACCGAGATCTAAACAAGCAATAAAACGTGGATTAAAAAAAAAGTTCCCAAAGCTGTGAGGGTGGGATGAGGGCCCCCTCCCTCAGGGCAAAAGTCCAGGCTGATGAGACTTAAGCCCGTTGAGTTTATCCGCTGCTCCCCTGAGGATTTCAGGGCCTTTTTTTCCCGGAACGCCACTTCGGTGTCAATCACAAACCAAGTGCAGTTGCAGGCGCGCACTCTTTCTGACGGCTCAGTCTTGTCAGCTTGTCAAAGAAAGATTAATTTCAAAGCCGGCTAATTTTTCACAAGTGACAAGACCCCAATTGACCCCTCTTTCAGTCTGAAAGCACCCCTACGGAAAATACGGGATGGTTTTTCTGATTTTTGGTGACTACGCAGCTCCAGCCTACGTCTTTTACTTTCTTTATTTTTGACTTTTTAAGAGTCAAACTACACGGAAATAAACCATTTTTGCTGGTTTTTGTTCAAAAACAACAGCTGTGTGAACATCTCATGATGAACGGATCACAGTCCGAAATTACCTTGGACAAAACCTTCTTGCATTAACTTGCATTAAAAGTTAAGAAGGTTTTATCCGTCTTACCGTTTCGGAGAAGTTTTTTTTGGACAGTGACAATATGCAACTAAGCGGTGAGCCGTCTACAATGTTATCCATCATCCCAAAACAAATGCAGCCTTTTTTCCAGGAAAACAAGGGAAAAAAAAGTGGAGAGATCCAGTGAAGACGAATCTGCATTTATCTTAACGGCAACTAGCAGCAATTAGCTCGCTACATAATGCTGCTCTCGAAACAAAACCGTCTCCAACATAGTACGTTCTTAAGCTGTAAAGGAAGTTAATATATAAGGATTTTTTTCCAAGTAATTTTGGACCATTTCTGTTCATTAATTATTATATTTAAACATAATTCCAAGGTTAACTGGACTTTTCAAATTATGCAAACAGGAAAAATGACAAAAATGGATATACAGGACAAAAGGGACACAGGAAAGTGTTTTAAAGTGGGGATGCTGGAAGTTTCAGCAGCACATATGTGATGTAAATGATAACATCATGCAAAATTTCTTTGGGGACTATTTTGCCTCACAACACCCTGCATGTCATGTATCCCTCCACCATGAATGGAGTTCCAAAATCTTCTCAGAACTATCATAAAACAGTGTCTCAGTCATCAGGCAGTGAATTCATAACCATTTCATGTAGTAACTTTCTGTGAGGAGGTTTTAGAGGTGGACGTCTGGTTCCCATCACCACCACTGTGAACAGTTCTGACTCGGCAAAGTTTCTATGAAGGGCACATTTCACACCAAACCACTCCGAATTACTCTGTTTACATCTTAACCATTTAATTATGAAGAAATTTTGAAAAATCTGTGGAATTCCTCCTTAAAATTATGAAATACATACATTATAACAGATGTCTCCAAACGTTTGGCTCTTACTGCAAGTGATCTGATCGTTAAAGTCAATTCACACTTAGCCTTCATCAGATACTCCCGGCTGCTCTCATCAGGAAGCTTCTCTCTGTCAGATCACATCGCAAAAAAAACAAGAAACAAAGACTCGTTTCACTCGTATATGAGAAAAAACTCAATATCTACAGATCAAACTCCTCTGTTTTGTATGCTATATGTGACGCTTTAACACACAGCCGGTTCCATATGCTTCCTCAGATGAACACATATGGCTGGTGAGAAAACCTACGAGACGGTCTACACACACTTCCGAGCCGCATACATTCAGATATTTCCATTACCATAACACATTAAAGAAGCCACCTGTTACCAGCGCCGGCCACGCAGCACACAAACGCCTTTATTTATTCATTTCTCTCTTTCTTATTTTAATATTTCTCACATGCGGAATCTGCTCTGCACCGAAAATAGCTTTGCGGGAAGTTAGAAGCATAAATAATAACACAGTTAGAGGAATCGTTTCTGAAAAAATATCAAATTCACCCAGTTTGCTCCCTTTCCTCTGAATGCAGACAGGCTTGCTGCTTTTTTTTAGTCTTGTACTGGAGCTATGAGGCTAATGCAGCTAAGAACTAACTACCCCAGTAATGAGCACGATGCTAACTGTGTAAATCATCAGGCATACAAGTTATCGCAAACAGAATCGCATGTCTGTAATTGATCAATCAACCAATCACATACTGATTTCCAATAAATGGAACCAATTTCATGATTAAAAAACATCACTCAAGTCCTTCTGGAAGTTTCAGATATGTCACTGACTGAACACGGGCAGCAGTGCTGCCGAACAATTTTCCATTCCACCTTAAAAGCTGCAGCAGTTACATTCTGGTGCCGAACAACTTTCCATTCCACCTTAAAAGCTGCAGCAGTTACATTCTGGTGCCGAACAATTTTCCATTCCACCTTAAAAGCTGCAGCAGTTACATTCTGGTGCCAAACAACTTTCCATTCCACCTTAAAAGCTGCAGCAGTTACATTCTGGTGCCGAACAATTTTCCATCCCACCTTAAAAGCTGCAGCAGTTACATTCTGATGCCGAACAATTTTCCATCCCACCTTAAAAGCTGCAGCAGTTACATTCTGGTGCCGAACAATTTTCCATTCCACCTTAAAAGCTGCAGTAGTTACATTCTGGTGCCGAACAATTTTCCATTCCACCTTAAAAGCTGCAGCAGTTACATTCTGGTGCCAAACAACTTTCCATTCCACCTTAAAAGCTGCAGCAGTTACATTCTGGTGCCGAACAATTTTCCATTCCACCTTAAAAGCTGCAGCAGTTACATTCTGGTGCCAAACAACTTTCCATTCCACCTTAAAAGCTGCAGCAGTTACATTCTGGTGCCAAACAATTTTCCATTCCACCTTAAAAGCTGCAGCAGTTACATTCTGGTGCCGAACAATTTTCCATTCCACCTTAAAAGCTGCAGCAGTTACATTCTGGTGCCGAACAATTTTCTATTCCACCTTAAAAGCTGCAGCAGTTACATTCTGGTGCCGAACAATTTTCCATTCCATTTAAGGTGGAACGGAAAATTTGGATAATAAGTTAACTCCGGCCTCGTCAGAAGGTGTTCATAGGAATCACCATTAGCTTAGTACTAACAAACTACTATAGGGACACTAGCAGAAGTTAGCATCATCGCTGAGGTGGTACTTTTATCTACGAATGTGGACGAAGAAGCGAAACCAAGGCAGCTCCTACTGTTTCGCTATGCTAACGTACTTCTGGCTGATCAACTACACTATTTCTTCATGTCAAGCGATACAGAAATCGTAGTTTGGTCCAGAGACTGACCAAACATATGGCTATGAGTGTATGTGAGGTATTTGGTTGCTAACAGAGTAGCTACAGCGTGAAACTCGGGGACAGAGGAAGGTACGAGTGAGATGACTGCAGTATTTGCTCAAAAAGTGACTAAATTATTACTAAGACTGTAGCGTATCATGCAATCTCTGTGTAGCCCCGCCCACTAACGACTCACTCTTGAGGCGCAGGGTTTAAAATCAGCCTTAAACAAGCTGGAGACTAAACAGGAATTAAGACATGAAGAGATCAGTCCGGAAAAGGATGGCATGCCCACTCCAGGTAAGGGGAGAGGAGCTGCCCCAGGTGGAGGAGTTTAAGTATCGGGGTCTTGTTCACGAGTGACGGGAAGAGGGATGGTGAGATCGGCCACAGGCTGGGACAGGCGGCAGCAGTAATGCGGTCACTGTACCAGACTCTAGTGGTGAATAGGGAGCTGAGCCATAAGGCAAAGCTCTCTGTTTACCGGTCAGTCTATATCCCAACCCTCACCTGTGGTCAAGAGCTTAGGGTAATGACCGAAAGAACGAGATCGCAGATACAGGCGGTGGAGACGAGTTCTCTTCGCAGGGTGGCGGGCTATGCTCTACTGACAGGGTGAGGAGGTTGGTCATCTGGGAGGAGCTCGGAGTAGAGCCGCTACTCCTCCACAGTTGAAGCCAGTTGCGGTGGTTCAGGCATCCGATCAGGATGCCCCCTGGCCACCTCCCGGTGGGGGTTTACCAGGCACGGCCTACTGGGACGAGACCCTGGGGTCGTCCTAGGACTCGCTGGAGGGATTATATCACCAAGTTGGCCTGGGAGCGGCTCGGGGTACCCTGGAATGAGCTGGAGGGAGTTGCGGGGGACAGGGTCATCTGCTTTTCCCTGCTCTCCCAACTGCCACCGTGACCTTAGTTGGATTAAGCGGCTACTGCAAGTAAACCGAGCGCGGCTCCACTTCCAATAGCTCTGCCCATTTTCTGCATGGTCCTCCAATGTTTTGCAACGCCCTCCTTCTAATGCATATGCATGCGGAAGAGAATGCATTTTTCCATCCGACCCGCACTTTTAGGCTAATGCAACGGTCTTGTCTATATCGCAGGCGGGCAAAATACAGAATATTTGCACCTGAAACCGCCGCAAAAGGCGGAGTGCATCGGCCCCGTGTATGAAATCCTGCTGACGAAGAAGCACATATAGTTGCTGCTACAGAAACCCCACATACAGTTGACCCTGGTCAAGTTGCATTTGCTCGATTTTCTAAGTGCATGTATTCAGTTCGTGCATTCAACTGTTATTTTTCAAAAAGAAACAATGAATTCATCCATTCTGAGATGCTGCTGAGCTGCTGCCCTGCTCATAATTGTCCCTTTCGGACACAGCCCAGTGACCACAGTGACCACCAGTGGGTGAACGTGGAAATCGTGAGTGTGAGTCTACGTTAAAAAAGCTCGGACGTGGAGAGAAAGCGGAACGGTACCTGATGGCAGCCGTGCAGGTTTGAGTCCCGTCCATAAGAGTACGGCGCTCTCTCTGTTTTACCTGTTGAGAGAGAGAGAGAGAGAGAGAGAGAGAGAGAGTCAGTCATTAGGCAGCAATTTAACACCTGCAGCTGGGAAGCACAGCGACGTTTTAACGCACTTACACCCTAAAGCCGATCCAAAGAACGATCTCAGCAAAGCGAAACACACCCACAACAACGCAAAATAAAAACGTTCTCGTCCAAATTGCACCTGGTGTCATTATAAAAGGTGCTGCCACAGGTTGGGAAGATTTTACACAGCAAGTAGCTATCATGGTGAAGGTGAAGGAGCTTCCTAAAGTTCTCACGGAGAACACCAGTAAGCTACACTCAAATGGAAAAAGTTACAGAGCCCTAGCAAAGACCTTGCAGAAACATCCCTGTCAGAACAGCTAGTTCGATCATATGCAAATGGAAAGTTCATGGAAGCACAACTAATCATCCCTGGACAGGTGCTCCACGCAAGATCTCTCTCTGAGAGAAGCCAACAGTTCCTTAAACTCTATAGTTCAGCTCGTCATGCTTGGAGAAAGAAAGCTTTCTTGAATAATCCCAAGAACATCTACAGCGAAGCATGAAGGTGGTAGCATCACAATATGGTAATCTATGTTCCGGGAGATATTAGTGGCAGACTTAATCTAATGGCTAACATCGAGTGATTTTCAAATAGGTTCTACACAGAACCATATACAAAACATTACTATGTCAAGCTTGTATACAATAGAAGAACCCTTTTTGGTGCTATTTAGAACCATTTCCAAAAACACATTCTCCTTCAATCTGAAGCAGTTCTAGAAACAACTCATATTTGTAAATAGTTCTGCTGTTGTTACAATGTCAAGCTTATCTACAACAAAAGAACCTCTTTTTGGTGCTATATAGAACCATTTTCAAAAAGGTTCTATACAGAACCATATACAACACATTCGCCTTCAATCTGAAGAACCATTTAAGCATGAAATGGTTCTACATGCAACTTATGGTTCTAAATAATTCTACTATTGTTACAATGTCAAGCTTACATACAATAGAACAACCCTTTTTGGAGGTTTTTCAAAATGGTTCTACATAAAACTTTTAAAGACTTTCCTATCTTTTTTAAAGGGGTTCTGTACAGAACCATATGCATTCTACCTCAATCTGAAGAACTATTTAAGCATGAGGTGATTCTACATGCAACTCACGGTTCTGAATAGCTCTGCTACTGTTACAAAGTCAAGCTTATTTACAGTTAAAGAACCCTTTTTGGAGGTTTTTCAAAACGGTTCTACATAAAACTTTTAAAGACTTTCTCCCTCAATCTAAAGAACCATTTCACCACGCAAAGAACAATTTAGGCATGAAATGGTTCTATGCACAGCTCATGGTTCGAAATACGACCATTACCTTTGCTAAAGAACCCCTGAAGAACCATCTTTTTTTAAGAGTGTATGTGAGGGTAGTGCAAACTGATAAAGAAACTTATTTAAAACATTTCGGAAAGCCTCTTGTCCCAGAACTTGGAGGGACAAGATGGTGCGATGGTTGTCAGTAATAAAGGTATGTCCAGGTGCCCACTGTCGGTCTCACAGTGTAAGATGAACGGGCAGAGAGGGATTAGGGAAGAGATGGACCCGGTGATGTAGACAGAGATAGATGTTCTGCACTCACACCCAGAAACAGAGCTTTATCAAACCCTCCAGTGGAGGCACTTAATTATATATGAACACATGCTGCACTGGAAGCTGGATTCAGAGCCAGACACACACACACACACACACACACACACACACACACACACACACACACACACACACATAAATCAGACATAAACTTACACATGTGAATACCATACAATATTTCCTTCATTTATATCTATATACCATATATACACCAATTACTACCTACACATTAATACATATATATATAATTATGTATATACAGTAAATACTAATTAACAGCTTTTACCCTAATATATAACTAATATTTTAATGACTTATACATGACCTATACACTACTATATAACCTTTTCGCTGATATATATAAACCAAATAGGCTACTAATCAATAACCATTTAACGAAAATATAACCTCCATACTAATATATATAACCTATTTATTAATATGCAATCTATATAACAATACAAGACTTACACATTAATAAATAATCTATTCACTGATATATAAAACATGTAATAATACATAACCTATTCACTATTACATTACCTACACATTAATAACTAGACTATTTACTATTATTACCTATTCACTAAGATACAACCTTCATGATAATATATAACCTACACTAATATATAACCTATTCACTGGTATGTTAGCCATATGCTAATATTTAATATACACTAGTGTAATCCCTAAAAGATCACAGTCATTTCGTATTCACAATTTTCTGGCTTGAAGCTCATTGAAACAAGATTGTATACCTTCAATTCATACTACAGTTGTGTTTGTAAGTGAAAGAGGATTTGAATTTGATTTGAATTTGATTGGAAATGTTACATATTTGCTGTTTTTGTCATTTTTTTACTTCAAAACAAGCAGAAAATTCATACAGAATGGAAAAGTAACACATTATGTAATTATGTAACTGCATGTAAATAAAAAATATAAATAATAATGTGTATTAAATGTATGTAAAAATAACACAAACTATTTTTTCAAATAAATTCCACGAATAGGGGATTGCAACAGTTGGAATAATGCCACTTGAATGTTACACAAACATTACATAACAACTGAAGCCGCCTGCCACACACACACACACACACACACACACACACACACACACACACACACACAATGCAAGTTTTGTCCTAACAGCAAAAAACACCCATCTGTTTATACTGCGAACACAAATCTACTTCATCTTCAAAAAAAATTATTAAATAAGTACATTTAGTACACCAAAAACAGTAAACAAAAAAGTGTACTCTGACCACGGGAAAGTGCAAGGCAAGAATGATTTACAGCGCATTTCTCCCCCACTCCAACGGTTACTCTTCCTCCGATATCCCTCTTTCCTGGCCTGCCACTTTTCACTAGCACACCAAATCCACATTAATCCGCACATCTTCTGCTCCGGAAGTGGGAGTGAAGTCCGGCTACAGTGTGGAACAGGACAGGAATGCCCCGGACCGCCATCGCTGCAGCGAAAACTCGCATATTTGGAACAGATGCTGAAGACCAGACACTCTCTCTTTTTTTACCCTCAGTTTTTTTTTCATTGGAAAACGAATAAACCGGTCAAATCCAGGCATGTAAACATGCATCAGTGATCTGAGGGTGGTGATTCAACTCCACTGATCTTGGAATATTAATAAAGTATAACAGATTGTAAGAACATTCAGTAAAATATACACAAATGTTTTGGCCAAAGGTTTTTAATTAATTTGTTTGTTTATCTATTTACTTATGCTTTATAAAATCACAATCTTTTCATGTCACAGTGGTTTGACGTTACCATTTGAATATAAAATTACTTGAAGAGAAAAGTGAAAACACCCATCTTGGTCTTCTTTGCAAAAGAGCTGAAAACTCTGCAGGACCTAGAGTACACCCCTGATGCACACCGACTCTCGATTCTTTTTCTTCCTCATTTTTGGCTCAAATAAAACTCTCAGATAATTTTATTCTTTATTTTTATCTGCTTTATCAGATCTTTATCTTTTTATGTCTCAGTGGTGTAAAGTTACCATTTGAATGCAAAGATTGAAAAATGTAAACACCCATCTCAGTTTTCTTCATGAAAGCGTTAAAAACTCAATAGTACACCCCTGATGCACACCAACTCTCTCAATTCTATTTCTTGCTAATATTTTGGCCAAAATAAAATCCTCAGGCTATTTAATTATTCTTTATGAGATCATAATCCTTTTATGCCACAGATGTGTAATGTTATCATCTGAATATAAAATTACTTAAACAGAAAAACGTAAACATCCGTCTTGGTCCTTTTTGTAAAAGCGTCAAAAACTCGACAGGACCTAGATTACACCCCTGATGCACACCAACTGTTTCTTAACTGTTTCTTGTTAATTATTTGTCAAAAATATAATTATCAAGCTATTTATTTATTATCAGATTATGATCTTTTCATGTCATAATAGTGTCGCATTACCATTTGAATGCGAAGTTACTTAAAGAGAAAAATGTAAACACCCATCTTGGTCCTCGATAGGACCTAGAGTACACCCCTGATGCATGCCAACTCTTTCTTGCTCATTTGGCCGAAAAAAACTTCTCAGGCTATTTATTTATTTATTTATTTATCATCAGATTATGATCTTTTCATGTCATAATGGTGACATGTTACTATCTGAATGGAAAGTTGCTCAATGAGAAAAATGTAAACAATCATTTTGGTCCTTTTAAAACCTCAATAGGACCTACAGTAGACCTCTGATGCACGCCGACTCTTAACGATTCGCATTCCATAATCTGCTTACCATTTTTGTTGGCTAATATAAAATCACTGCATGGTACATTATTATCTACTCAGCCGCAGAGCTTATTTTAAAACTGCCTTTCTGTAATAATACAAATTCCCTCTGGTGTTTGCCTTTCACTCGACATGCACCGCTAAAATCACCGGTCATGCTATTTCTCTGACTCATGCTGAAGTTCCCCCGACTAAGAGGGCGTCCTCAGGACACGAATGACAACCTCTTATTAAATAAAAGTCCCTGTTAGCCGCGAATAACAGCGTTAGTCACAGATAAAGCCGAATAAAAGCTTGCAGTCCAGATACGGCGGGCCATTTCAAGCAGGCTTTGAAGAGCAGTGAAGATCTCGGCAGAATTTTTTTACTTATTTATTTATTTTATTTTATTTTTTTTTAGATGAATCAGATTATCATGAGAATTCACCAGCGAAAGCAACAACAGGCTTGGTCAGCGGTTATTTTTCTCGGTGTTGTTATTTTCTTGTGGTTTGAGAATGAAGTTATTCTCAAGAAAAAAGCAAAGATAAACAACAGCAAACATTAAAAAAAACTGCACAGCAGTCTTTGTGTCCAGCTGCGGATC